GATACTTACACTTTAAAACAATACAAATATATTATTATAATGGAGTTTAATCAAACTTTCTAAAAGTAGCTTTGTCCAGTGTGTCTCAGTGGTTAGAGCATTGACCCACACACCAAAATGTTGCATGTTCGATTCCGGTCAAGGGCATCTACCTGGATTGCAGGTTCAGTCTCCAGCCCCAGCGGGGCACATGTGGGAGGCAGCCAATCAACGTCTCTCTCACATGGATGTTTCTCTCTGTCTCCCCACTCTCTCCTTTCCACTCTCTAAAAATAAATGAAAAAAATACACTCAGGCAGGCATTAAGTACAAAAAAGAGAAAGAGAGAAATTCATCATAAATAAAACTGATAGCACTAACATAGTCACAGACAAATACATAATTAGAACAAGGGAGAGAGAGAGACCCATGTGTATTATGGGAACTTGTAAATTATAGCAGGACCAATCGATGAGGTAAGAATCAATTGTTTATTGGAGTTGGGAAACTTACTTTACTATTTAGAGAATAATACATTAACTCATAACATTTTCTCAGAAGAATAAAATACAAGTGAGAAAACAAACTTACAGAACATAGAGATTTTAATCAAGAAAAATACATTTCATAATGTTCTAGTCAAGACGGAGGCACAGGTGAATGTGGTATCGCTTTTTCCCACACCCACATCACATTTACAACTATATTTCAGAAAAACCATCATTCAGGACTGCCTGAAATCCAATTGAACAGAAGTCTTACAACTAAAGATATAAAGAAGGAGCTGTATCAGAACAGGTAGAAGGAGTAGAGACTCTGAAAAGGCTGGTTCCACACCCACCTATGCAGAGAAAAATCAGGAGGGAGATCTCAGCTGCGGAGGTCACTCCTCAAGAGCAAAGGGGTCCCAGCCCTGGCTGGTTTGGCTCAGTGGTTAGAGAGTCAGCCTGCAGTCCAGAGCGAACAAGGTTTGATTCCCACTGAGGGCGCATACCTTGGTTGCAGTTTGTCCCTGGCCCTGGTTGGTCATGCGTGTGGCAGCCACTCGATGTGTCCCTTTCACATCGATGTTTCTTTCTCTCTCTCTCTCTCTCCCCCACTCTATCTGAACAAGAAATAGAAAAATGTTCTTGGGTGAGGATAAAAAAAAGAAAAAAAAGAGCAAGGGGGCCCACACCAGGACCCCCAGCCCAGCTGTCCAGTGCCAGGAAATAAATTCCCCATAATTTCTGACTGTAAAAACCAGCAGAGATTTTAGCTGCATGACACAGAGGGCTGCTAGAGTCTCAGACTAATTCCTCTTAAAGGGCCTGCACACAGACCTACTCAGACTCACCTGTCCTGAGTTCTTGTACTGGAGCAGCAGTTGAAAGTCACCAGAGACATACAGAGAGGAAATAAATTGTCTGGCATCAGGGATGAGAGCTGGAGGGGATGCTTTCTCCAAGAAAAAAAGAGCTGGCAGAGGTCATTTTCCCTTTTCTGAATATCACCTCCCCCATGGAGCTGGCAGCCAGGTGCCATATCTGAGTCTCCATCAACCTGGCTATCACTGTTCACCTGCCCTGGTGTTTCCGGAGACCCTGCCCCAACCAACTGGCTCACCCACCCAAGCTGTTTCCAGTGGTTTTTCAATATGAATAGCCTGTCTTGGTTCATGCTACAGACTTTTCTAAAATCTCTTAAACAAGCAACACCTGGTCTCTGTCCCATACCTCTCACTAAGTGGCCCCAGGCCCAGCACTAGCAGCATCCAGCCTTGGTTCGCAGCTGGCAGATGACCTTGGCCTGCATCTCCCAGGAGGCCTCAGAACCAACCACCCAACCACCTCCACAAGAGATGCACTGAAGTGGGGCACTCAGGAGGCTCCCAAGCCCTGCTGCTCCATAGGGTTGGCCCCTGCACAGCTGATCCTCCATGATGGTTGCAACCAATCCTCACAGTCAATTGGCCTGGTATAAATCACTCCCATTAAGGTGCCAATAACAATCAAGGCTCAACTACAACAAGAGAGTGTACATAGCCCTCACAGGGGGTGCACCTGAAGTGCCCAGCTTAAGCAAACAGAGGGGCTGTTCCACTGGATCCTACAGGATACCTACAAATAAGACCAATCTACCAAGCCCAGGAGACATAACAGCTCTATGTAATACAAAGAAACAAACAGAGATGCAGCCCAAATCAGCAAAGAAATATGTCCTAAATGAAAGAACAGAACAAAACTCCAGAAAAAGAACTAAACAAAATGGAGACAAGCAATCTGCCAGATGCAGAATTCAAACCATTGGTTATAAGGATGGTCAATGAACTAAGGGGAGGAGTAGACAAACTTAGTGAGAACGTCATCAAAGAGAGAAAACATAAAAATGGAGCTAGAAAACATAAAAAAGAACTAGACAAAAAGGAACAACACATTAACTGAGATGACAAATACATTACAGAGAATCAACAATGGAATAGATGAAGCAAAAAATCAAATCAGAGATTTGGAAGATAAGGAAATAGAACAGCAAAAAGAAAAAAGAATAAGAAAATTGAGGACAGAATAAGGATCCTCTGGGACAACTTTAAGTGCACCAACTTTTGCATCATGGGGATGCTGGAAGACGAAGAGAGAAAGCAAGAAATTGAAAAACTATGTGAAAACATAATGATGGAAAATTTTCCTAACATGGTGAAGGAAATAGACATAAGATTCCAAGAAGTACAGAGAGTCCTAAACAAGATGAACCCTAAAAGGCCCACACTAAGACACATCATAATTAAAACAACAAAGCTTAAAGACAAAGAATCTGAAAAGCACCAAGAGAAAAGCAGTTAGTTACCTACAAGGGAGCTCCCATAAGTATCAGCTTATTTTTCAACAGAAACTTTGTAAAATAAAAGGGATTAACAAGAAATATTCAAAATGATCAAAAGCAAGTAGCTACAACCAAGATTACTCTACCCAGCATGGCTATCATTTAGAATCAAAGGACAGATAAAGAGCTTTCCAGACAAGAAAAAGCTAAAAGAGTTCATCACCCAAACCAGTATTACATGGAATATAAAGGGGTTTTCTTTAAGGAGAAGAAAAAAAAAAGATAAAAAAATTTGAACAATAAAATGGCAATAAATACATATATATCACAAATTACTTTAAATGCAAATGAATTCAATGCTCTCATCAAAAGACATATGGAAGCTGAATAGATAACAAAAGATCACCCTTATATATGCTATCTACAAGAGACTCACTTAAGATCAAAACACATGTACAGACTGAAAGTAAAGGGATGGAAAAAAGATATTGCATGAAAATGAAAACAAAAACAAAAAGCCGGAGTAGCAATACTCATACCAGACACACTCAACTTTAAAACAAAGGCTGTATAACAAGAAACAAAGAATGCCCCAGCAATTCCACTTTTGGGTTTTTATATGAAGAAACCAAAAACACTAAATTGAAAAGATATATATATATATATACACATATATATATATATATATATATATTCATTGCAGCATTATTTACAATAGCCAAGATATGGAATCAACCTAAGTGACCAACAATAGATGAATGAAAAAAGAAAAAATGTTGCATATTTACAATAGAATATGACTCAGCCATAAAAAAAATAAAATGTTGCCATCTGTAACAACATGGATCCACCTAGAGAGTATTGTGCTGAGTGAAATAAGTCAGACAGAAGAATACAAGTGCCATATGATTTCACTTATATATGAAATTAAAAAAAAAAAAACAATGAATGAACAAGAAGAACACAAAGAGACTTATAGATACAGAGAACATTTTGATTGTTGCCACATGGGAGAGAGTTTGGGGGTTTGTGTGAAAAAGGTAAAGGGATTAAGAAATACAAATTGGTAGCTACAGAATAGTCACAGGGATATAAAGTACAGCATCGGGTATATAGTCAATAATATAATAATGATGGATGGTGTCAGATGGGTACTAGATTTATTGGGGTGATCACTTTGTAATTTATATGTAGTGTTGTTCTATGTCAACTGTAATTGAAAAGTCAAAAATTATTTTTAGAGTAAAAAAATATACGTACATAAGATTAAGGTGGATAAAGTTGTTTTTATTTAAAAGGGAAAAATATCCAAGAGCAAAAGAAAACATGTGGTTTTAATCAGATGAAGATTGATAATTTATTTTCTATAAAAGATACCATAATAAACAATCAAAAGATAAATGATCAAAAGATTTGTCAAAGATAGTTGCAACATAATAATAACATAGGATTAGATCTAACATATTTTAAATCTATGTGAATATTATAATTTGACAGGAAATTCACAATAGAAATAATTAAAATGGCTTATACACATATAAGAAATGTCCAAACTCATTAGTAAATAGAAGTATACATATTATTAAAATAATGAGAAATAATTTTAATTCACTAGAAAGGCAAGACTCCAATTTTAATAACATAAATTTGTAGTGAGTTTCTGAGGAAACAGCAGTCCTCATGCACTGCTGGCCGGAACGTGCACGTGCACAGCCGTTTTCTGGGTAGCATTTAGGAAATGTTTCAGTGATCCAGTAACTCTGCTTCCAATGTATGTGCCTTAGAGAAAGTTGTGGAAAGCTACAAAGAGATATACACAAGGGTATTCGTTGCAGCATTGTTTAAAATAGCAAAAAATTTAAAACAGCTTAAATATTCTTTCAATAAAAAAATAAAATGTGGTCTAAGCAAATTATGGAATAAAATAAAGCAGAATAAAATAAAAAAGAATGAACTAAGTTTATTTGTATCCCCATGTGCAGAACTCAAAAACAGAATATTCAGTGAAAAACAGTAAGAAAGAAGCAGGCAGGAGAAACTACGCAGCACAATGTCACATATGGAAAATATTTACAATGGGTATCTGAGATCAAGATGTGTAGGCTTTGCCTACTGATGAGTGAAGATGCAAAATTGAATCGAATATAAAAATAAAAAGAAAAAAGAAATTTTTGTGTTATACATTGTGTGTGACTGATTTAAAAACAAAAAATACTTATTGCTCATTTTAGATGAAAATGGGCACTGTTCGTGGTGTGCAGAAATTGCTAATGTGGCTACTTTGGGACACAGGTTATGCTTCTATGACAGGACGTTTATTGCAGGGGTGACCGCACCTGTAATATTTTAGCCGGGCTCAAGGAGTAAAAACTGGGTGTAAAAAAACTTTCAATATTAGAAACAATTAAGGAATACATCTTAGATCATTTGTCAGAATGCCAATGCACTTCTTAGAATTCTAAGACTCTAATAAAGTAAACTGCTTGAAGAATATAGGTAAGAGTCTAATTTACTCCTTCAAATTCCCTTCTAGACATAAACTTATTCTTTATAAAACTTCAATATTAATGTCTTTGCATTTATGTATCTAATTCTTGCAGCATCCCATTCTGGTGGTTTATTATCACCCCAAGAAAAGATTCGATATTAAAAGGGCTATCATGTGTTTGTCTGTGTGCCAGCATGAGGTTATGATGTTGGGCAAATGTTCAACTGCTCTGATGGGTTGAATGAAAATAGCCTTCTGAACAGCTAAGAAAAAACAAAAACTAGAACACACTTGATAACTTATATTCTTGCTCAATTTAACTCCCATCAAAAACCCAGGTTTTACCTAGAGATTTGTATAGAGTGTTAATCTAACAAACAAGTCAAGGCATGATTTAATTTAAATGACCAAATATGATATCTAAGTATCATTACCTAAAATTTGTAAACATTTTGAAGGGCTATAAGGAGAAAGATACTCTAACATTTTACTGATGATTCAATATTTTATTTAATTAATGTATAAAATATATACTCTGTATCATAAGCATTTATGTTTTTAGATAGTTATCTTTTATTATTAAAAACGGAATAATTAGTAAAGATAAGATAAAAAATATAGTTAACTAGAAAATATGTCATATTCTGAGTAATTTCAAATGTGATAAATTATATTAAGTAGGCACATAGGATCTTAATTGTTTTTATACATGCCATATGATTTTTATAAATTTAGTATCCTTAAAGTTACTTCAAACTAAAAAAAATGAGTATTTTCATTCCTTTCTTGCCATTCTCCCATAAGTATTTAAGAACTCTATGTTAGACACAAATATAAAAGTGTTTTCTCTTAAAACTGGTTAAAATATCACATATATGTATTTGTTTACAGAACTATAATATTTTTTTATATAAAACCCCAGGATACATTATATATGTAAAATTTTTCATAGGATCATAGTTTTTTTTCTGACACTGACAAAGCAACTAGTGTCAAATGAAAGAATAACATATTCCATAGTCCAGGAATGAGGACATGAGGTATTACTCCACGGACTATGGAAACTTCAGTGGGTGCTTTAGACAGCTGATGATTTTCAAAGGAACACAGAAAACATGAGAGTTTTTCTAGATAGCTGGACTGAGTCATGAAGTACTGTAATTACTAGGTTTATAGAAATCAGTTCTCATAGTAGGAAGCCAGTGTATTTTATCCAAAATTAGAGCTACTTGAAAAGGTATCTGTGAGCCAGGTAACCCTTTTTTTCTGAATTTCTCTTTAGTAGCTGATGAACACTAAATGTGGGTCTTTTGGTAGTAACTGAAATGCTTGATATTTGATGGCAGCTAAATTAAAACACTTGAGATTCAGTGATGCAAGTTTCATGAGATATGGGGATCTGAGAACTGACCACAATTTAAACGTACTCATCTGTATTTTAAGATGTTTTCTTTAAGCCCTGAATTAGATGTGATATTTTTGGTGCATCTTCAGTACACCTTTTTATTAATCCATGTTACTAAAACATATAGCAAAACATTAACATTGTCACAGGGCTATCTATAAATTGCTACAGTTAAAGCTAAAATATGAAATGAAACAAAAAATGTGAATGAGCATTTACTTTAATACATATACAAAACTGAAAAGGAAGAAAATGAATTGTTAAAATGTGTATCCTAAGTATTTGAAAACTTTATTTAATAACCAGATATTAATGGAGAAATATTAAAAAACAAAATTATCTCTCATTCAGGAGAGTGCCTTTCACAGTTTAGCCTGAATGAAACGACTCGTGTCCACGCAGGGATGGCACTCCATGGCTCTCTCTTCTGGATCTATGTCAACAATGATCATTATTCTTCTAAAACAAACTCTGAGAGCAGCAAACCTGGCTCAGGCAGATTATGCTCCAGCCAAAAACTGAGGCATAACTGTCATCGCTGTCATTCTTCTGGCTTTCAGAAATACGAGGAACAGTGCGGGACGAGCTATTGACAAACTCGCGCAAGTGTCCCGGTGGACGACCACTCTGTGAGTCATCCACCCAGCCCATACCTGCCAGAAAGTGAGGGAGAAGCAAGAACATCATCTGACATTCTGTGTCATTCCCAGTAAATTTGAGGAAAACAGATGGGAATTCAGAAAATCGGTACTTTTCAAAATAGTTTGGTCAGTGTCTTAATTTGGGTTTCCAGACCCTAACTCAACACTTGGAATGCAAGTTGTTTATTTTGAACATGATCCTAGGAAACTTCCACAGGCAGTACAGAAATGAGGCAGGGATGTGACATGTATCAGTTTCCTTCAGGGCAATTATATCAAGTAGTCACAAACTTGGTGGCTTAAAACAACAGAAATATATTCTCTCATAGTTCTGGGGTCCAGATTCCAAAATCAAGATGTCAGCAGGGCCACACTCACCCCAAGGGTCCATGGTTGAACCATCTCTGCCTTTTCAGGTTCTGGTGGCTCCTGGCATTCCTTGGTTTGTGGCAGCTTACCCTCCATCTCTGTCTACTTCTTCACATGACGTTCTTCCCTGTATCTCTGCCTTTTCCTGCTTCTGGTAAGAATACTGTCAGTGGCCCAGCAGGTGTGGCCCAGTGGTTGGGTGTTGACCCATGCACCAAGAGATGCCGGTTCAATTCCGGGTCAGGGCACATGCCCAGGTTGTGGGCTAGATCCCCAGTGGGGGATGTGCAGGAGGCAGCCCGTTGATGTTCTCTCTTATTGATGTTTCTATCTCCCTCCCAAAAAAAATCAATAAAGAAAAAAAAAGAGAATACTCTCAGATGACTTAAGATCTACACTAATTCAGTACAATCTCCTCTCAAGATACTTAACTAATTATCTCTTCGAAGACCCATTTCCAAATAAGGTCACATTCTGACTTTCTGACTTTCCAGGTGGCCATGATTTTGGGGGGACACAATTCAAAAAGCAGCCACTTAAGTGTGTGCTTTTAAGCAAGATATCTTAACTGGAACTTAATCCCAATGGCAAATTCTGGAAACTACTGAACTGGAGGCTCCAAGTTACGTTCTCTCCCCAAAGGGAGAGAATTGACACCAACTCCTGTCAGTAATTGGTTGAGGCTGTTGTTGTGGGTGAGGGGGAAGGGCCTTGCTGGAAATGGGGAGGAGACAGGTCCTGCTGGCCATACCTGAAGTAGAATGAGTTCCATCTGCCAAAGAATGATCTAGAGAAAATAGATGCCCATGTTAGTAGCTGGAAGTGCTCTGGTGGGCACCACAGTATGAGACATGGGCAACATGGATAGGGCACCAATGTCTTTTGCTGCACAGTTAATCACAGAGTATCAAGTCCATCCACCAAAACTTCCAAATTTTTTTGAGAAAATCTATCAGCAAATTTTAGTAAATAAATGCACTAATCAATGCACAAATAGTTTGTATGGAAATAATATAAAAATTCTACCTAATCTTACAGTAAACTCTTCTTTTTTTAGAAAGAGAGGAAGGGAGAGGGAGAGAGAGATAGAAACATGGATTAGAGAGAACATCGATTGGTCGCCTCCTGCATGCCCCCTACTGGGGATATGGCTCACAACCTTGGCATGTGCCATGACCAGGAATTGAACCAGTGACCTCCTGGTGCATGGATCGACACTCAACCACTAAGCTACACTGGCCAGGCTACAATAGACTTTTAAAAAGACCTATATATGTAAGAATGGGTAATAAAAACAGTAAAATTTGTGGTTGCCAATCTCTCTGGTTTTGAACTTAAAACATTTGCATGTTTAAAACAGGTTAGTGATTTGGCATGATTGAAAATGCTTTTGTACCATATTTCTGCACACATTACTAAGCCACTTTTGCTGAAAAGAGTAGGCCACACCTATCGTGAGTGTTGAAGCAGGGAAAAGATACACAACTCTTAACCTGTAGTAATATGTTCTTCTATACAAATCCAGTATTGAAGTAGTTATTCGTTTTGCTCTTTTTATAGCAGAAAAAAATCTTATAATATGAAAGAAGAAAAACTAAAAAGGGAGAGAAACATATTCCTGGAGCCCTGAGTTATTGTACTAAAGAGGGGGCTGAACCCCACTGAGCCGAAGGGCAAGCTGCCCTGCAGAACCATGGAGTGATACTGCCCGGAGCACAGAACAGTGAGCCAAAGAGGATTATTCTTGAGCCTTAAATTCCAATGAGAATTGTCTTGCTAGGTTTGGGACTTGCCTGGGACTTGTCTGCTTTCCTTTTTCCTTTTTTCCTATTTCTTTCATTTGGAATAGGGATGACTAGCCTCTCCCTCTCTACCAGTATATTTTAGAAACACATAACTTTTCTGATTTCAAAGATTTGCATCTGGAGAAGAATTTTGCATCAGGATGAATTATATCTCAAGTCTCACCATATCTGATTTTGCTAATATGTACCTGAGACCTTGGACTTTAGAGTGTATGTTGTAATTTGTTAAGACTTTGGAGCTGTTGAGATGAAATGAATATATTGCACATGAGAAGGACATGCATTTATGAAGACCAGGGTCAGAATGTTATAAACTGAATGTTTGTGTTCCCTCTAAATTGATATGTTGAAGCTGTAACCCCCAATGTGACAAAATTTGGAGATAAGGTGTGTGAGGTGGTGATAAAGGTTCATTGAGATCATCGGAGAGGCACCCAAATCTGATAGTGCTGGTGCCCTTATAAGAAAAGAAAGACACAAAATCTCTCTTCCTCCCAACCATGTAAGGACATAGGCAAAAGGCATAGGACATATGCAAGCCAGGAAGAGAGCTTTCACCCAGAGCTGACTGTGTCGGCACCTTGACCCTAGTCTTCCAGTCTCTGGAACTGTGAGAAAGTAAATGCCTGTCTTGAAGCC